CATTTTTTTTCAGTTTGTTTGTATTTTTGTTAACAAACATAATAATAAAAAAATGTTTATTGTGGTAAACAAAATAAGAATTTGATCTAACTAAGAGTTTGTTTTTTTCCCCCTTCCCAATTTCTATAAAATCCTCACGTGATACAAAAAAATGAATATTATTTTCGAAAACTGCATAGCTGAATTATGGTAAATCCATTATGAAAACCAAAGCAACTTTTATGAAGTTTCTGTTCACAGGCCTTTGTTATTAGTAAACTAACTGTTTAGGAAACGTACAAAAAATCAATAATGAAGGCTTGATCTATTTTGGCTTTTCTTTTCATCAAGTCTCAAAACACAAGCCTTTTCCAGAATTATTCATCCTATAATTTTATTTTGTCTTTATATTTCATAAAATCATGCAAATCATTATGCGATTATCAGAAGACTGTTACATGTAATAAATTTAATTGTTTGTTTTTTTGGGACATAGAATAGAAACTCCATTCTTTAACAAAGTAAAACTGTTAAAAGAGCAGAATTAAAATACAATTTAAAGTAACATTCTTGTAACCTTCCAAATTCTAATAGATACATTTATAATATTGAATGTGGCATTAATAAGAACATACTTAAATCAAATTATCAGATTGATTCCCCTATAGAAAAACCATTTTTATCCTATTTAATAATTTCTGTTTTCATTTCATAGCATCTTGATGATTTTAAAATGTTTTACTGTACAGTGCATTCTTACATCTAAATGCACTGAGCAAAAATTAAAATTGGTTCATTGTTGGTGCAATGCTTCATGCTATATTTATCTAAATTACTAGAGATTGGAACTTTTGATGGGACAGTAAATGCTGGTTGTCAGAGCAGCCAGTGTGTATTTGGATGTAGCCCAGGGGGAGCTTCTTGTGGATGTCCTGAAGGTTACCAACTTGTGGGACAATAGTAAGTAACTCGGGTTCCTACCAATTCTCAATTGGTAAAATATATTTTAACTCATTCACTGCCATGTGCCCCATTGGTGGGTCACAACCAACTTTTAGTTACAAACTCCGTGACACACCAGTGGGTCACATATTACAAGTGGCTTCAGTGAGATAATTAGACATAGTATAGTTACCCATATAAATAGGAGACACCTGGGTTAAATAGAAAAAAGTGTGGTTGTCACTAGGGTAGAAATTATTAATACTACTGGTGACAGTGTTAACGTACCTGTGTGATGTGTACAATTTTCTTATTTACTTGGTAATTGTTTTTTATTACTTTTAGAAATCATTGTATCTTATTGCCCATCTTTTAAGAGGCCAAATGTTCTTCAACACCTTAGTGGTTGTTAAACATGCAATTTCATAAGCTTTTCACTTCAAGAAATAATTTCTTTATTTTATTTTAATCTAAACAGCCACTGCTTACAAACCTCCCAGGCTTTTGGCAGCAGCAATGGAGACATCAATTCATATATCCCAGCAGGTGGTTATGGTAATAGTGGAGGTGACAGCTATTTACAACCAGGCAGTTATGGAAGCAGTGGAAGTTCTGGATCCTATCTTCCATCAAGTGGCTATGTTGATAACACTCTTGGAAACATTCCATTCCAACCAATTCCTGATCTTGATTCCTATACTGTTCCCAGTGAGAAGGTTATATCTACAGAAGGTTGTTATTCTTGTAAAATTAATGGTGGTCGTCAAAAGCGTGAAGCCTCAGTTCAAAATCAACGTAGTATTACAGTTAGGAGACTGGAGAAGAAAGTTTCTAATAGATTGGTAAAGTTTATACGTTTTTTTGTTTTACATAACTCTTTTTGCAGTTTCTTCAATATTAGAACTACAAGACAGATAGAAAGAGAGCAAATGTCATTTTTAAAAGGTCTCATGAAAAGTGTACATAGCATAATAATTAGACTGAGTAGGCTCATTTGACACATTTATCATAACAATTGATTTTTATAGTTTTAAAGTCTTAAAGTTTATCTTACGAAACTATGTTGAGAAAGAATTTTAAAAATCATAATTTCAAGTGTTTTCTGGTTAAACATTTTTTTGCTTTTTATTGTGCATGAGTATAGTTCTGATAAATTTGTATTTTATAATTAAAACCAGATGTTCATAACATTATCTGGTTAAATTTTTTTAGCTTTTTATTGTGTGTAAGTTTGGTTCTGATAAATTTTTGTTTTGTGATTAAAACCAGAATCACCCAGATGTTCATAACCTTCGACACAAGAAGCAGAAGAAAGCAACAAAAGTTGATTCGGGTATAGCAAACTCATTAGGAAGGGATCAGTCCATTTTAATTAAACTGCCTTTGGCAAATACTCATCCTAATCTGCTAATTCTTAAGATCCAACCAGCTTTTCGTTTCCTGCTGAACAATGAAGAGTATGAAATACTAGAGGGTAATAAAGAAGGGTTCTTTCAGTTAAACACCAGGTAAGCTAAGAAGACTATGAGCTAATCTGTACTGATAGATAATCTAAGAGAGTAGAGATAAGATTATTTTTTTCAAATGTCACTCAAAACTGGAGGGTAATGAGAAATTAAACTGATGATGGGGTGTCAAAAATGAGATATTACGTTTTTGTCCAGTTGAAACATTATATTTCCTTGAAAGTAACGATTGTTATATGTAGATTGAAGAATAATAAAGATTTGTACAATTTGAAGAAAAAGGTTAGCGAAAGCATTTTAAAATCTTTCTGTTCATGCTATGTCAGGGGAAAATGGCAGGTCACTTGGATAATAATAACATGCTTTTGTTTCTAATTCGTTGTGAGTACTGCTTACATACATGTGTCCAGCACTTTCATTTTCTATAAGTTATAAGATTAATGTTTCTTATACATATGTTTTGTCGCTAGCTTTGTCACTTCTTATATCATCAGATCAGTTATAGTATTATGTTGATCAATGCATATGCCATGAGGCTGATTACCATCACTGTATGTAATTATGCTAATTTTTTTGGTTACTTTGTGTATGTCATCAGCCTAATGTTGTTCTCAACTCTACATGTATACTTTGTCTAATCATGCATTGGATTTTATGTGTGTTATGGGTCTGATTGGGACATTGTGTTAGTCAATAGGTGTATGTCTTTAGACTAGAATAACTTTGGTCAATATGAACACCACAAAGAAGTTGTAGAGCTATCGCTGTGTAAATATGTTGACCACAATGCATGTCATTAGGTTAATATGTTGGTGACTGTGACTGTCATCAAGGTACTGTTGTATTTTCACCATAAGTATGTCATTGGCTATTGTGTTGGTCACTGTATATGTCATTAAACTGATTTTATGTTCTCTTATTGTATATGTCTTTAGGCTTATAAGTTTGTACTGTGCATGTGATTAGAGTGATTTTGTGTTTTCTCTCTTTGTAGATGTTTTTAGGTTTATATGTTTGTATTGTGTTATCATTGTGTATGCCATTATGCTTAGGTTATGTTGATCATTGTGCATGTCATTAAATAAAAGTGTAAATACTACATATATGTCATCAGCTTGTGTAGTTTCTATAATTATGTTATTACAACAGCATTATGTTAAGCACTCATTAACAAGCTTTTGCTGGTAACTATATGTAAGTATGTAAGTATAAGTTACTTCATATAAGGTCAGACTAGTGCTGTATCCATAATCTTAAAGCTAGTGTTATGTTGAATGCACACACACACACACTAATTATGTCGAAATTTAGGTGCATTTTGTCAAAATTTTGTATTAGTTACTATTCATATAACAATATGCTACTGTTTTGTGACCATCCCTGTCTATCATCATGATTATGTTTATGACATATTAAATGCTAGGTGTACATCTGCATTGCCAGAGATCTGGAGGGGCTCTGGTGCAACTCAAAAATGTGGAACCTTTTTAACAACTGCCTTACTGTAGTAATTTTGTATGTGTTAAATCAGAATAATCAGTAAAGTAGTATTGTTCATTGTGCATCTCCTTAAAACTGTTACTATGTTGGATGCTCTGTAAGTTGTCAGCTTAAAATTCTAGTAATCTTGTACTTAGTGACAAACACCTTAGTTCAGTGGTTCTGAAACTGCAGGAGCATGCCAAGTTTAAGAAAAATGCATCTCATACTTCTTGATTTTATAAAGTAAAGCGAATCTTACTTCTGGCATGTCATAATTTCTAGATGGTGCTGTGTGTCTGACTAGTGCCTTTTATAAACTTACATATTATTGGACGAAATTACCTTCCATTTAGTGTTATAAATCGTTTATGAAGGCCTGAATATAACTACTCTGCTTCAATAAAAAGTAATTTGCTTCAATATGCAAGTGATATCACATAAAATTTACATTATTTTATACTCAAATATCTGTTTGAACCTTTGATGCATTACAATTTTTAATATTTAATGCTAGTAGCATATTGTATATATTTTTCTTTAACTGCTGTATATATTGGTGGGGGTTGTCAAGTGCCAAAGACATGGGGAAGGGGGATGATATCTAAACATCTGATAACACTGCCCTAGTTTAATGACATGCACAATGAAAGCTTAACATTATTGTAATGACATAAATATGGTTATATATAACAAAACATTTTTCTAAAGATGTGCACATTATTAATATTTCTTCTGTCTCAGAATGAAACGTGAGAGAGAAGGAAAATTCTGAAAATAGTTTTCCAAAGAAAACCCCTTTTTCTAAGGAGCATTTGTCAGGGTAGTACTTCCTATACATCAGTTAGTTAAATGAATTCTTTAGTGTCTTTTTCTTATTTGGTTGCTATTATTATTGGTCAGTGTTTAAATCATCAGCTAAAAACTTTAGTATTGCTTTTGTATTTCTTTTACACACAAGTTAATAGACCGTATTATAAAATGTCTGTTCCTTGCTGAATTTGTTTTATATTAAGAATCTATAATAATAAAAGAGTATGTCTATGTGGGTGTGACTACTTTAGCTCCAAGAGGAAAGAACCAACAAATATGAAATTTTGCATCCATACTAAGTTGACCATGAGAGTGTGGACCTTGGTATTATTACTTATCTATGTGCGTGCACATCTTTTAATGAGGCAAGCTAGTTAAAAACCAAATAAAAAAGAAGTGTGACAGCCATAACTCCAAGAGGAAAGAACCTAGAAACTTGAAATTTTGCACCCATACTATGTGGACCCTGAGGGTGTGCACCTGAATATTATTACTTGTCTAATCCATGTGCATGCATGCATGTGCTTCTTTTTAATGAGGCAAGCTAGCAAAAAACAACAAAGAAAAGAAGTGGTTCCTTATATAACAACTTCTAATATATAGAAAAGCCAGTGAGTTTTGGTAGCAATGCATTCCAACAATGGCTTTTATGTCATGTTGCTTAGCAACAAGGTATAACCTAAAATTGTTGTTAATCTATGTACTTAAAGTGTAAAATGAAATTTATAAACCACAGAATTGAAAAAGTATTTGTTGATTTCTTAATTTAAAGTCTTCATTGATTAAAGAAGTTTGTTTTTTTATTAAAAACATTGGTAATATAACAGAAAATACCTTAATTCAGAAACAATTTTATTTTAAAATTGGATCAGTATTTTACTTTCATGATAAAGTTTATGCACTTGCTAAAATATATCAACCTAATAACCCATGCAAAGCCATG